GTGCAGGAATTTCCGAAGATAGTAGCAAAGCTCCTTGACACTAGTGGCAATGACCCAACAACCATGCATTCCTGAACAAGTTTCATAATTGTCGTGTAGACCATGTATAATGATCTATTGCGCTGAGCAGCTTCTTCACACAATCAGGTGTGGCCTCAACAAGTGAGAGATGGGTTGAAACACAGTTGGAACTGATTCAACTGCAGTCATTTCAACAAAAAGGTGGCCTCCAACAGCTCCGGCAACTGGTACATTGCGTACAGCACCCCCAGGCAACAGCAGCATCTGTTCCACCCCTTAACCAAGAAAATGGAACCTGGCGGTGCCCAGGTCTCATTGGCGCCAACGTCAGTGGCGCTCACCTTCAAGGCCGGCATTGCCAACCATTCTGGACGCAAGGTCGTGCAGGTGATCTTCTCGGTACCCGGGACATTGGGATCCGTGACCATCCCATTCAGCAGAATCAGTTGGCTTAATGCCAGTTGGATTTCCTTGGGTTTCAAAAGCTAGGAGAGAATTGTAGCAATTTTTGGTGCATCAGAAGCTTGGTACCAGGCTGGATCACTGGTGCCTCTAAGCCCGTGATCTGGCCTGAACGGCACTTGCCATGGCCGCAAGTGCCATGCAGCTCCAGGGGCAAGTAGATCGCTTGCAGTCACATAGGTCCTCATCATGGTCAATGTGAAACGATGCGTTTATGCTGCATGGGCCCCACTAACCATGATCATCTAAGAACACTGCAATGTGTCATCAGCGGGAAAGGTTTTCTCCAACCAGCTGTAGAACTCGGCAGCCTTTTCCTGGCCATGTTTCATGCTCAGATTTTCTAACAGGCACAAACATAAAAAGTGAGCTGAGTATACCTCACTGTGCAGTGACTCCCCAAGGAAGTCGTCAAAGGTCTTGTTCTTGTCTGTCAAAGTCTCTTTCCTGACGACATTGTAATACCCAAAAAGAGTTTAGTTACTGTGACATACATTTGTTGAAAACAAATCTTTATCCAAGAAACGCCCAAGTGTTAAAGAGCTGCATGTGAGGCATTGCAAGTGAGTCTGCTGGCACTTTAGGTGTGTCACCACCCTTGATCTTTTTGGCGCCCCCGCCGCTGCCAGGACCACTGGACGTTCTTTTCTTGGCTGTCATCCTGGCTGGAGGCAAGTCCGCGACAATGATTCTCAAGCACCCCATTGAAGCATTGCGCACACTTGGTTTTGTGAATTGTGTTCTTATTCAGACACTGTTTTGTGAATTGGTTGTTTTGTTCATTCATGGTTTTGTGAATTGTTGAATTGTTCACAAACTGACCTTGGCGGTGCGCCCTCGCTTTTGTGAACGATTGCGACCCGATCATTCACAAATCGGCTGGTGATCCAAGAGGGTCAGTGGTGCACACTGAGACGATCTCGTCCACTGAACTCAGCCCTGACAGGATCCATCCATTTTGTGAACGATCACGACCCGATCATTCACAAACACAGCTGGGAAACCAAGTGTCCATTTTGTGAATGATTTGACCATTCACAAAAGCAGTGTTGATTTTCTCATGTGTTCACAAAACCAGGGTATAGTTTCTCACCCATTCACGAAATAACCAGGATTTCCTTGTTCATCTTGTTCAACAAAATGGATGGTTGGATGTCAATCCCCTTTGTACCTAAAACTTGGCTGACAGCTATTGGTATAAGCAACAGTCGTTCAATTGGTATTGTTGGGAGATCATCATGTCAGCCCCTAACTCGTTGCTTTGATAGCGTCATTGGCGATCTTCAAAGCTCTTTGCATGGGCACCCCTTCTGCCCACAAACGCGATGCAGCTGTATACAGTGCCTGGTTTACCCTTGTACGCCTGTACATTGCTAAGTCTACCCCCCTCACCCGTTGCCGAACAACTCGAAGAGCATTGGGAGCCTTTCCAGGTGAACGCTGGGTTTACTTACTGTGAGTTACTTTGAGTTTGCTGTTTGATTGAGTCGATGGCTGGTTCAAGATCCACCCCTCGCGGCATTGCAGCAGCCCTCAAAGTAGGTCCAACTCTTGGCCCTCGATATGGCAGCGCCCTCAGAACAAGAAGTTGTGGGTGAGTCGGAGTGAAGGAGTCGAAGTGAAGGAGTTGGAGTTGTTCAATTACTGCACGTGTTTTCCAAATGAGGCTTTGACCAACTGATGTCTAAGAGTGGTGGGTGGTTATAGACACCGTTTGCACAATCTTCCAGCTCTTGAGCGGCATCATGCATCTCAAAAGGGTATTGGCCTCAAACCAAATACATCGAACAGTACAAATCCTTTGTGAGTGCTGTCTATCAAGGCCCTTGCGCATCAATCGAGCATATTTCCTGAAGGCCTTGCTCTCTTCCGAGTCGATGTTGATAGGCTTCTCCAAGAAGACTGAGTGTGATGGGTGGGAAGACTTGTTGATACGACTGGTAGGTGAACAGAAACCAGTTGAAGGCATGTTTTATATAGGAACATAAACTCTTTTTTGATGCAAGTGAGATTCGTGGAGGGCTATCACCTTCACACTGACGAGCAATGCATGCTGGTAGGATGAGAATTGGTGGATCTTGCCATGATGTGCTGGACATGAAGCGCTTTGTCCTGTTTCCATTTAAATGCAAAAGTTACAGTGCAATCACATTCCATTTCGCTATAATCAAAGCACTTTTGTTTGCATAGTGCTTCCATGTGAATCTCCTCAGTATCACATCTGCCTCGTCAGGCATGTAGCCTTTTCTTTGCCAAAACCGATCTTGCACAGATGCTCTGCCCACACCTGAACGGAGTGAAACAAAATAAAGATCTAGATCCGAGCGATACTGATCTAGGAGGGGACACTCGAGCTATCAATGTGTCTCAATTCACTCACACTGAGACAAGCATCCGCTGTCGGCAAAACGCTCCAATCGAAAAATGTGAGGGGCTCCGGGACCTCCAATACCTTCAATCTGATGTTCAAAGTGCGATAGGAGCCAGTTCTTCCTGGGGCCCAATGCTGCTAGAGAGACTATTCAAACAATTATTGCTATGTCGAGTCTGAACCTACAAACATCTACCACCCATGGGTAGCACGTGGAAGGAAAATCATTCAGAAACATTGTGCACCCTGAGTGTCCAGTCTCGGAACTGCAAGTAGAGAAAGACCTTTCGAACTGGTTCGTGTGGCCGACGCGCCGCATTCTCATCAAACCAACCCTGTAGTGAGGATCTGAACTGATCAGGAGTGTGCGATTCATGTGACCTCTCCAAGTGAGCCCTTATCAAGGCAAATAGCCCATCCACGTCCTCATGACTATGCCCACTTGTCAAGAAGCACATCTGGGCTCCACGGATCATCCTCCGACAGGTCCACAATGACAATGCCCTTATCAAACAATTATTTTTTACTTCTTTTGTGCAATTGTCGGCCTGTACATGAAGAAACGTGTTCCGGAGCTCTTTGGTCTGGCTCAGGCAGGACAATGCATTTGCCAGCAGCTCTGTTGACCGGCTGCTTCCTGTTGTGACCCAATGAGGAGATAAAGCCATACTGATGAGGTGCCCATGCACGATCAATGCCGTGTTGCTAAGTCGTGGCCTGTTCAGGCCATTGAACTCTTTTGACAGCATTGACCGGCTCCGTGGCCAGCTATGCTTCTGGGCGTCCATACTGTCCAAGATCATGGTGATCACTTCAGGGCTTGAAGAAGATGAAGCCATCCTACTCCTTGATCTATATTCCCAATAACACTGACGATCTCTGTACTGGCGTTTGCAATGTTCCATCAACAAGCGTTGCTGTGATCTGCGCGCGGGGGGGCAGTGCCCCACCCGCTTGATGATCAGCTTGTGTCTGACACACTGCCAGCAAACACTGTGATGCGACTGAAAGCGGATGCGTAGCTTTCCTTGGAAGTGCGTTTGCCACACCTAAGCCATCATCATCATCACACACCCAAGAAACAGTCCAAGAAACATCACGCAGCTGGACATGGTTAACTCTTGCGCGCGTAGAAAGGCGCTCTCTCTCTCTCTCTATCTCTCTCTCTCTCTCTTTATGGTGTGCTAGTCGCTAGTGTTCAATGTTTATTGAAGTGGTATAGAAGAGTGCGAGACACTGTTCATTGAAGGCATGAGCATTCAATGCACTCTACGAGAATTGACAGAGCTTTAATTCCAGAATGCTTGGAGACATAATGAAGGTTCACGCATAGGATTGCCTACAACGACGTTGTTTTGGATACTTGTGGAAATATTGCTGCCTAGGCTCGCTGCAAAAGAGCTTCCGGGAAATAGAGACACCAGGGTTGGCGGCCAAGCACAAATTGTGATATTCATTTATCGACCCAGGGGGTAGGTGTCTGATGGCCGAGCGGTCTAAACCCTTGGCGTCAAGCCTCTGATCACCCTGACGGGGACGTTTGTTTGAGTTGGCGGCATCAGGTAATTTTTCCGCGGACTCAGTGTAGAGTTCTTGAAGGAAATCATACACCTTCTCTTGTGCTTCCGAGAGTGGTTGTTTCCCACGCAATATGTAACGGCTGTCAAATGGGCAGTGTTCAGCCCCTTGACGAACAGCCGTTCTGAGAGTGGCAAACCGTTGCTTACCAATGCCAGTCATGGCCATCCATCCCTTGTTGCGCATGGGTTGGCCACAATACTGCAAATGAATGGCCCCCCTGCAGGCCTCCTGTGGCTGTGCCTTGAGCATGGTGAAGACCTGGGAGGCCCGAGTGGCGTCAAAGGAGTTTAATGATCACTTCATTCGTTTGATATGATTTGATCAAACCTGATGGCACTCTTGTTTGTTTCTCAAGAAAACTGAGATAGGAACCTGTTTGTCCATTTCCAATTTGCTCATCTTGATCCAAGCCGTTTGTCTGCCAACCATTGATCCCAAAGGGCCAGGTTCTCTCTGAATGGCTTGAAGCACTCTCCACCCCGACATCCACACTTCGACTGGATGAGGTTTCTGAGTTTGGTAGCTGGAACTCTGTAACTTTTCTGAATCTTTGGTCGAAAACCACGTGATTTCCTTTTGCGTGTCCCTAATCCCCCACTCCGACGGACTTGCGTTTGCACAGTAGGCGGTGTGGTTCCCTCATCATCACTGAGCTCTGCCACTGGTGACAAGGGCATGCCTAGCAACCTCTCCGCTGATCAGGCCAGGACAAGCTCTGCACCTGGATCTTCTCACCTGGGCGAGCGCGGTGAGCCAAGGTTCAAGGATCTTCAGCAAGGCTTTGCGATAGCCATATAATACACTCGCACATGCATTGACCCTTTTGAACCATACAATATATAGATATATATAAGTATACCAACTTCTAAACAGAGTCGAATGACACGGATCAACATATGTTGCTTCATTCTGGGAAACTGACAGACCCCGAGCTGGTCATTGAAAAAACCTCATTGCACAGGTCATGATCAGTTCAACCAAGACGATGCCACCGTTGATGGATTTGTTATGACAAAAGCACGTTGTTCACCGTGGACGTTCTTGTGAGATTGCGCGTGAAACCAAACCTCGAATGTCGATGGAAGCGCTCAAAGCTAAGGAGCTGGCTCCTGCCTCGTTCCACTGCCGGAACCCCACAGCAGTGAACCGTTGTCCGAGACAGTACATGTGAAACAATGCTCCTGTATAATTTTGGTTGTTCAATCATGAAAAGCGCATGAGAACACCACGCAAAGGTGTCAGAAGGTCCAAGTAGTGTGGCCGATGCTATCATTTCTCCATGGCAAGTATTTGATTGGAAGATATTACCCAAAACATTGAAAGACTTGAAAGGTAAGAATAATGGAGCGCACACTTTGTTGATTGAGCCAAATTGTCACAAGTCTTGCTCCGAGTTGAACCGGTAAAGTAGCTGACGACAAGTTGAGTTTGAAGGGTAACGCATCTATTGCAGCAAACATGCCTGGAAGTCTCAAGGTCGAAAGCGACCCTTCCGCCTGGGCGTCGATGGCTGGGTCCCAAGAATCATTGCCATGACATGAGTATTGAAATGACCTCTTTTCAAAAAATGTATCCAGAACAAGTAGCCAGGAATTGCTGCAAACAAGCCAGGGACGCGTTGAGCTGGGAAATGCGACCACTGTTCACACTCTCCAAAACAGCTGTGTTATTGAATCAGCATGACAGCAAACATGCCATCAACTTGCAAACTGATTTGAATCAGTGTGACAGCAAACATGCCATGAACGAAGAAACTGTTTGAAGAGCATATGAATGCACTTGGAAAGGACTTTGCTTTGCTCGCGCGCAAGAGTAAGCTGCCCAACACACACAAGCATCCCCAAGCTGGAAAAGATCCATCTAGGTCCACATCACTAATTGTGCATTTCATTGAATTTACATGGCTGGCTTCGAAAAAAGGTCTTCGACCTAGGCCTCATGGCACAAAATATTCATGGCGTAGTACGCCATCAAAGGGACAACCACATTGCCAACAGCTGCGATCCTGGCCTTTTCTGCCTTTGATCTTGTTTTGGCAAGCCACTGGTGCATTTTGGGCTTGCGTGAACTCTTCATCCACACCTTTGTGGGCAATTCCTTGAGCTGCTGAGTGGTGAAGAAGCGCTTGCCCTGCCCATGTTAAACGCACACCGGAAACAGACTGACTTGCCGCCAGCCTTCCCAAGGTCAAAGCCCGGACGCTGGATCAAAATGAAAGCGCGTTGGCGCCAGATCTAAGTCAGCGCAAGAAATAAAGAGAGCCAAGTGCAGTCACAATCTATTAATGTCTAGCATGGAATCAACGTCCAAGTCAAAACCCAAGTCCCCAACGGGCGCACCAATGCAATGGCCATCCACACAGGTCCACTTCATCTTCAAGCCACGCTTCTTGCATTCCTGCGAAAAGATTGGGCCGTGACTAGGTTTACCAGCACTGTGTGCATGGTGCCTCTATAATGAAATCCATCACATCCCGAAGGTTGGCTGACAGCAAATGTCCGACGTTTCCCATCACCATAAAGTTCCTCATGTTCCGGGGCGGGCACTGCAACACGAAGCAAACAGGAAGCACGAAGCGCGTTCAAAAGAAAAAACCAACCAGAACTACATCGCTATCAAAGTTTGTTGCAAAGTAGCAGTGGTTTGGGAGCAGAGTCCCAAAGCCTAAAGAAATGGCGGCACAGGGCCGTACGGGTGTCTCCCATGCCAAGCTGGGCACCTGCCTTGCTCGCACCCTGCCAGAACTGCGCTTGGAAAAAGAAACATTGCCCCCATCAAAGCCCCACTGCGTTTGGACACGTCAACGCTCTTGGAAAAAAGAGGGTGCCTGGCAAGGGAACCCCCCAACCAGTCCTTCTGGTTGGGGGGCAGGGCACATAGACCATTCAAACTTCTCAACATCCGGAAACACAGGACCAGGGTCAGCTAGTCCGTCCAAACATCGCTGGGCAATGAGTTCTTGACAATATGGATCTCGCTCAACCTTAACTTGAAGTGCCATACATGCCAATGATTTCCAGATGTTCTTGAACGCTTCTCATTCAATTTTCACCATCTGTGCTAACCACATAACAGGCCGGCTTTACCAACCTCAGGTGTCAGGTTGCGCCAGTTGGGAAAATAGTATCTAGGCATATCTAGGCTATTGGTGAAGTCACTCAATTCTTGCATTAGTGTGAGCTCAGTGGTGGACGGGTGCAGCCCCATGTCAAGGCCCAAAATGCCCGAAAACAGGCTAACTGCTCTGTGGCGTTTTGCCTGACACAAGTTTTGAAGGGACTGTTGTCATGGTATTGGTGGTCTTGTCACTCTCAACCATGGGCCTCTGCTGTGTTCTGACGCCATGGGTATATGGTGTCCAAATCGTCTTTCACCAGGTTGGCCTCCAGACATGTCCAGTTCTGCGGGAGGCCTGCAGGCACCGGCGGGAGATTGAGGACAACTGACTGGCAGTTGGCCACTGTTCAGAATTAATGCCAGAATCCATTTGCAAATATATATATATATATATATACAGCAGTCGCCTGCGAACAGTTCAGCTACATTGGGAGTAGTGTACACCTGTTTCTTCTTGTTCACGGATCTGCATGCGTTGGTGTACTTCTCGGACCAGTAAACTTGGGTCGCAAAATCCTGCCAAAAACAAAATCAGGACAACCCATCCAAAGGACACTTCATGTTTGGGTTTTCTTTGCGCAGCACATCAGGCGGTCACGAGACCCGCGGATCGATAAGTATCTTGTGTTTGCCTTGCTCGTGGCCCCGAATACGCCTCAAGCTGGCCGGTTCACAGGTGGCATGATTGCGATTGGAGGAATTGGCTAGGGACCTGGCGGACCGTTCCCCATGAGCGAACGGTCAAGGGCTTGTGGGCAAGGGCGCCCTTTTTCGGCAAAGGCCCCTTCACTGACTTGCTCAGCCGTGGGGGTACCTCAAACAAATCAATTTTTGAATCGCAGAGTAAACGGCACCAATACAAAAGAACTAGAATCGACAACACCTGTGGGTTTCTATCAGCAAATGTGGCAGGTATGGTGTGGTGCATCCTAGTCACCAAACGGATGTTTGGTGCCTGGTACCCATTCTGTGGCAGAAACCAAGGCTTGTACTTCCTGAAGGTTCCATCCTTGATCACTGCGTTCTTCGGCAAGGAACCCTGAGTGGGAATTCTCACTCTGACTTTTCCATGTTTGGTGAGCCACCAGAAAAATCACTCCAATCTACCAACGATGACACCGGCCGAGGTTGTGCCTCAGGAAGACATTCTCCATGTGAAGGCTGCGCCTGGGCGGGCCTCAGGGGGCAAAGTCGGTGCGGAAAAGGTTTTGGTATGGGTATATGGTTAATGGGATCCTGACTCATCACCGGACAAGACCTCCACGTCGGAGAGGGGCATGGTGCTACGATGCAAACCTAGGACCTAGCTTCTCTGATGACCTTGATCCAACCTCACAGTAGTCATTTTTTGAAAGTGAGGGCAGCTGTGTAGTTCACTGCAAAAGACTCTGTGTAAAAAACACACAATTCACTTTCCAACCCATGCGTGCGCAGGCGAATGCTGAGAAGTGCTGAGAGGAGGTTCTGAGTGCGTTTCATACAACCTTTGCAGCAGAACACGTGAAGATACATCGAGCCTTGATCTCTTACAAGACTGAGAAGTACGCAGAAGAGGCGATGCACTTCTTCTGAACGAAAACCCCCGAATTAAAGTTGGCCATCCACACACTTTTGCATGATTAAACAAAACACTGTGAAGTTGGCTGCAAGGTTTGTTTGGAATGCGCTGTGTGCAAGGCCAAGAGAACCCCAACGCAACGTCCAACGCGCAAACATTTATTGTGAATTGACATCACTGGATGCACTCTGAGAGTGCCCAATGAAAAAATCTAGAAATGAAAAGTCATTCAAATCACCTGACTCTCTATCCTCCACTGCATTAAGAGCACCAGAAATAGCCGCCATGGCCTTCATCAAAACTTGTTCAGGGTTTTCCGCGGTGTCATTCATGGAGAGGTAGTGGCCAACCTTGTAAAGATCAATTGATAATGCATGGGCTCCATTCTAAACACCCTCTAAACTGAGCACAGCGCTCTAGTCACCACTGTTGCCAAAAAGGCTCGCTCCTTCAGAAGCTCATCCTGACAAAGAATCAGGATTCCTTTGTTTGAGGATGCCGGACAAAAAACATAGGACCGAGCCAATGGGGTGAAGAGATCAGGCTCGAACTTTGAGAGCTCCTTGAAAGCCTGGGAAATGGGTTGGAATAGCACTGGGGGAATGGAGGACCTCGCGAGTTTCTGAGATATCTACCCTTCTATGCCTTGCACATCTTCCATAATTTCCCTGGTCCTCAGCAAGTGGACCGCTAATAGTTTTGTTAGATTATATCCCGGCAAAACCAAGTTTGGTGCATTGGAGAGAAGTCCAGCATCGCGTTCTGGAATTCATAACAGTCCACGGTTCAAATTTCAGTGAACACTTTATTCAATCCAAGAGCGCCTTCCGATGAAGTGGGGGACGAGGGCTTCTAGATCGACATCTTGAGCTCATGCTGACCTAGACCGCGCAAAACCCCGGCTACCCACATAGGGACCTGAACTGACACTGTCCTTGCCTTCGAAGCAGGGCCTTCTAAAAACAAAATGTGCCAAATGGCTGCCAAGCGGGCGACACGAAACCCACGCCGCGCCAAACGCGACTGTGACAAACAAGCGCAAACTCAACCCCAGTGACTGTGTGTGTACAAGTGTACTTATAGACCATTATGGACCCATTCTGAATTATATCATAACTTGCCGAAATCC